ATTCTCATCGAATTCGCTGAGGACGGCGGCTGGCATAAGGCATTTTGCAGGTTTCCCAAACCATGTTAGGTGGTAGGGAGGTAGTAACCACGTCATCAAAATTTTGCGTCCTCTCAGTTCATTTCACAATTCGTAATCACACCACTAGTAATCCTTAACCCCATATGTCGTTCAGCAGCCACTTCAGATGCAAAACGGAAACCTCCATGCGGCTTCCAACCCTCCGCCCCCCCCCCCTGATCCCACAAACCGGCGACCTAGCGGCACTTGCAGTTTGCATCGTCCTTCGCAATCCTCAGCATCGACCCCCTGGCGGTCTACGCCGCTTACCCGGGCCTCCAGCCCCCCTTCCCCAGTGCAAGCAGGGGCGGCGGCCCCACTGTCTCCCTGGAACGCGGCACCGCATAAGCACGCAGGCCTGATTATGCGCGGCCGGCAACTGGGGCCGAGCCCAGCGGCCGGTCTCCGGAGCCGAGCCGGCCCCCGCACTCACCTCTTCTCCAGCGAGCACCAGCCGCAGTACGGGTCCTTCGCCTCCAGGCACGACGAGCAATTTGCGAACGAGCTGCAGTGCTCCACCTTCATCTTGGAGATCTGCGACAGAACAGAGAAAAAAATTAGACCGGCGCTCTTGACCATTTTACTTTAGTACCCCCGTCCTCTGGTGTCCTCCGTTCCCAGGGCTCGTTGTGAGGAAATGCCGTTCCCGCTCCGGGAGCACGTTCCTCGGAAAGTGCCCTCCAAATTTAGTGGAGATGTTCCGACGGCCGATCGAAACGTTCGGTCCAATCAGCGACAATTAAACGAATTTCCAGCCAATACACAAAAAGGGGGAGCCACACAGCGCCCGTCACAGAATGGAGAAGCAGCGAAAGAGCACATCTCGACCTCTTCTCCTGAGCGAATCACATTTTAGCAAATTAAAGAGCACCGGGGTTAGGCAGAATGGCGGGGGCGGGCTCGCGGGGCCCGGTCACTTCGAACAGCTGCCTACAGGCCCGGCCTGGCACTCGCCGCTCGCGCGCCTCTCCACCCGAGCCGGACTTGGCGCGGGAATGAATTCTCAAACTCGATTCGTTTGTTACAGTGAAAATCGCTATGTCGCGGCCCTCCTCTGCAACGATCCTGTGGAGTCGCGCTGGTATATTGCAACTGTTTTCGTTAGCAGTCTGTTCGTCAGGATCGTAACGCTACACAATCAATACTCAATCGATTTTTCATGAAACGACAAAAGAGATCGTCCCGTTCCGTTCGAGTTGACGGCGTTTTCGTGCGCGAATCGTTTCGCCAATTTCCCACAACGTTTCTGTCTTTTTCATGTATGTCATGAAAGCAAGTGGAACCCGTACGCACCTGAATAATTTAGTAAAAGGGAAGATAAATCCGCTCTGCGAAGAATGTTGTTCAGAGTGAGAAATAGAGACTACCACTTCGAGTAAGATAATAATACGTATATTACTCGACGCTAAATTCTTAGAATGGTGGATTCTTCTTTATAAAGGGATAATCACGTTATTTAGACGTTAAAACGGGAAGTAAGAACACAGCTCATTTAGAGTAAAAGAAAGACTGGCATTTAAGAAGTAGAGAAGGATTTAGCATTATAATAGGCATATTGTGTTAAAAAGAAACGTTTTAACAGAAGGAACATAATTTTATATTCACAAAGCGTAGATCCTGAAAACAGACAAAAATGTAGCGTTTCTCTCTCTCTCGAAAAAGAAACAGAATTTGTACTGTTTTGTCATTAAATAAATAAGGTATAAAAAAGGAAAGACGAGTAAACGTCAGTAATTTGAATCATCGTTAGCAGGACTTCACACTAACTTACATTTTCATATGTTTTCCTTATATCCATAATAATTCATCGGAATATTTTTACTGAATATAACAAGCATGTGAATTACACAAATTCTTTTTGTTTTTAGGTAAGGCGTTGTTCAGTCCGACTTTACGTCTGTTCGTGGGAGCACCTCCCTCAACAGCGCATTGGCTCACGTTCGAACGCCAGTCCATGCGTTTGCGTAGGAGATTTCCAGCGCACCGGCGCGCCGCGGCGTCGGCAACTCCCAGGCGTCGGCTGCGTTTCGTCGCACAGACAGCCGCCTCCCGCACCGCGTCGCCCCTCCGAATAAGACCGGTTCTCGCCCACGCTCTACTCATGTTTTGGATTAGAAATGCCACTCTCGCCCGGAGAAGGACGTGAGAAAAAGTAAAATATTTAGTAATACGCTGTTTCGTCCTTTGTGTCGCCTGTAAATTATAAACAGAACGAGGTATGTTGACAATCGACTGATGGGGACACGTGTGACTCCTGGAAAAGGAGTCGGCCGGCCGAGGGACCGACCGTTCGGCCGGACGATGGGACGGACAGACGACAAAAAACCGGCGAGCGGAAGTCAAGAGAGTGAGGCCTCGTCGGCGACAGCGTTGGTGCAGGAGGAGGGGGATAGGATAAGTCGCAGTGAAGATGGAAGCGGTGGAGGCGGGGAAGACGACGAAGGCAGTGAAGGCGAGAAAGGCGGTGGAAGCAACGGAGACGGTGGAGGCGGCGGTGATCGTGGGGGCTGTCGGGAACGTGGAGACGGTAGAGGCGGGGGAGATGGTGGAGGCGATGGAGACAATGAAGGCAGTGGATGCAGTGGAGGCGGGGAAGGCGGCGGAGGCGGCTGAGTCGGCACGACGTCTCCCGCCCGCGTCCCCTCCTCCGGGCTACGACTGGGAGATGGGAATCGTGCGGGAGAGAAATCACAAAATTTACGTTAGACAATATTCTGGCGCGCACGAGGGCGAGCCGCCTGGGTGAATGAATCCCTAACGGCTAAATAACTGGATACTAATATTCCATTAAGGAGTCGTGGGTGCCGTAATTGCTATGGTAATTCACGCAAGAGAACGGTGGGTCGGCGAGGCAGAATACTAGATGAGTTGAAGAGGCCACAATATAGTACGATTTCACGCATTTACGGTGAAACACGGATCGCGCCAACTTGTGGATGTATTACCTCTGCATCTCGTACAATGCTTTCATTAACGGAATACTAGCAACTAAATCTCTCTGACCGGTAACACGTTTCAAATATAAACTGACAATAAGTAAGAAGCGAATCAACAGTCATAAAACAAAACGGGTGGGCGGGTAGGACGGAGGTCGCGACCGTGCCACACAAGCACGCACGCTCGCGAGTAGCAACGCCGCTGCACGCGCGTGACCACGTATCTCCATACGCACGCGCGCCTCCACTTACGCACGAACGAGCGCCGGCGCACACGCACGCGGCGCCTGGGCAAGTGGGCGCAGCGCTCGCCTGC